CGTGTGCGTGTGTGTGTTTTAAGTGTTCCCCGACCCCCCCCCCACTGGAAATGGATGTCAAATCGGGGCCTTCGGGTTGGGTTGGGGTGGTTTGGTGGGCGGTGATTGTCTCACTTCCCCCCTCGCTCGCCGCCGAACCAAAACCCTCGGACCCTCGATCCCAGAACCTCGATCCTCACACCTCGCCGCCGCTGGCCAGCCGGGGCCCGCCGCCGCACCGCAGAGGCACACGTAGGCCCGCCGCCGCACAGGGCTGGGCCCCAGCAACGCCCAACGGCACCCGCCGCCGCCGCCGAAGCCATCGCCGGCCGCCGCCGCCGCCCTCCTCTCGGCCCTTCAAGGATGGGCCCCGATGGCGCGGGCCAGGGCGAGTATTGAGCGTGGACCGATCGTCCCGGCATTCCTGAAGGCCTACCACGACATGTTCTTAGAACCCCAACATGTTCTAGGGACAACAACAAGGTTCTCAGAACATAAACCCGACGTGTCAAAACAAGAGAGTCCCAGCCAGAGAGGTTCTCAGAAAATTTCGTGCAGACCACAACAGATTATCATAATAGAGAGAGCGTGATCCACCGCCGCTTTACTGTGGAAAATTGCCAACCTTTTCCTCTGGAGCCCGGGGGTCGCCCCCCCCCCCCTCCGAAATCCCCCCCCCCCCCTGCTGGAACCCCTCCCCCCCCCCCCCCCTCCACGCCCGCAAAACCCCCCCCTTCCAATTGCCCCTAACCCCTCCCCCCCCCCCCCCCCCCCGCGCTCGAAAACCGGGGGGGGACACTACCCCGTTCGAACCCCCCGGTTCGAATTCTAAACAAAAAAAAAACGAAAAACCCCTCCCCCGAACCACCAACCCAACCCCACCTCCCCCGCCCCCCCCCAAACCCCATCCCCTCCCCCCCCCCCCCCCTCATAGATCCGTAAAACCGGGGGGGGGTCACTACCGGTTTCGAACCCCCCCCCCCCCCCCCCCCCCCCCCCCCCCCCCCTACTCACCGCCAGCAAACGACTCCCGGTCCCCACCACCGTCCGCATCACATCCCCCACTGGTGTTCCCAGCACCACTGTCCTCACCACCGCTGTCCCCACTTGTTCCACCACCGCCCCTACTGTCCCCACCAGTGGCCCCACCACTGTCGCACTGTCCCCGCTGTCCCCAGAACTGTTCCCACCACGGTTCCACTCGCCCCACTGTCTCCACGGCCCCAACCACTGCCCGACTATCCCCACTGTCCCCACTGTCCCACTGACTCCTCCGCTGTCCCACTGAGCTGTCCCACTGTTCCCACCACTGTCCCCACTGTCCCCACCACTGTCCCCACTGTACCTCTGTCCCATTGTCCCACCGCCGTCCTCGCCACCGCCTTCACCACTGTCCCCACCACCATTGTACCCTCCACTGTCCCACTGTTTCCACCTCATTCCCATTGTCCCCACACCACTGTCCCCACCACCACCGTCACCACCACTGTCCACTGTCCCCCCCCCTGTTCCCACCATTGTCCCCACCACTGTCCCCACCACTACCGTCCCCACCACTGTCCCACTGTCCCACTGTCCCCACCACTGTCCCGCTATCCCCTCACCACTGT